GTTATTATATTTGTTAGCATAATATGGAGTGGAAAAGCCATCATGGATGATATTTGATCATTATGGCTTAATGACGTCTGATCATTAGTGCATTGCTGGTTGTGAGGTTTATGATGTTTTGGTCAGTGTGTGTTGGCTCTGCTTTGCGAATGCAGTTTTTATTTTGTCCTGAACAGCACAACTTACCCGAGTTACTCATCCGGTCAGCCTTCCTCATTATACATTTATGATATATGATTTATTAAAGACGAAACGTTGCACACGTGACTGCACTATTGTTGTTGCACACATAAAACCCCACAGTTCTATTGCTGTATTTGCAAAGCCGTTATGTTTTCTTGGGACAAATGTGTATGCATGTAAATCTGCCACATGGAACAAAAGAGTCAGATTTTTGGAGATCTTAATGCTTGTAAACAAGCGAGAACCAGCGAAAAATTTTAGAGGTCACATTTTATTAGGCCTGTGAAGCTATGTGATCTGTCACCAAAACACTACCCCCACACTCGCTTCCTCTCTCTCTCTCTCCCTCTCTCTGTCTCTCCCTCTCTCTTTCTGTCTCTCTCTCTCTCTTTTGCTCTCGCTCTCTCACTGTCTTGTATTATGTGTCAGTGGGAAGTAGGGAGTGTCGCTGCTAGTACAGGTCAGACACACAGCCAAACACATTCCTACAGGCTACTGCAGGTACAGCAGGCTACAACTACAGTACTGTGCAAAAGTCAGAGACCACCCTTCATTAGTTTAATTTCCAGTCAAAATGGCCATTAATTAACTAGTAATTATTCATTTTTCAGGAGATATTTCTGATTAATTAGTTATAAGATAATCCACTTGTGTAAGGAAGGGGTTGTTGGAACAACGGAATATGGTTTTATAAAAATACATTTTCAAAACTGGAGTTCAAAAACTGATTTAAAGCTGTAGATAGAATGGGACTCCTAACAACTATGCAAGACCTGGAAGACCACCATAACTGTCACCGTCAGATTTAATGCTTTCATCTGTGGAATGGACTGGCCAACCCAGAGTCCAGACCTCAACATCAGTGAGGAAATTTTCACACTAGAGCAGGGGTCGGCAACCCAGATGTTAAGAAGAGCCATTTTGTCCTTTTTTTTGTCCCATTTTGTCCTTTTTTTCAGCCAATTGTGCTGTCTTGGACTCCCGGCCATGGATCCATTTTGTCCTTTCAATAAAAATCAAACCACCTTGGGAGCAACATTTCATGTCCGTTTCACCATCTTGGCTGTAAAGATGTCTCAGTATGTGCTAATGCACTAGTAAAGGCTAAAAATATATAATATAAATGATAACACAGACTTACTTTGCTCTGCTTTAAGCTTTACCTCAGCTATAGCTGCTTTTCTCACATCTCCAGCAGGAAACTTTTCCTCAAAAGTGGAATATTTTCTTGAAAATGTCTCTCAATGTTAGACTTTTTACAGGGCTTAAGTTAGCTTATCACTCGCCAGCTTCTTGTTCGAATTTTCACGTTCTACCTTAAATGGCGCCTGTGGCATGTCAGAATGTAACTGCTGCACCATTTAAGAAGGAAAGAAGAAAAAAATTTGAGCAAGAAACTGGCGAACGAGAAGCCTTTTTAGTGTTAGCGTTTTTAGTGTATCAGGAAACCAGCTGAGTGCTAATAAATGCAAATAAGTCCATTTGTCTCCAAATTATCGATGTTCGTCTTAAATCTTTCTCTTTGTCTTTTTGTTGGCTATTAGCTAGACGAGGCTTTTCTGTGTTGCTATGTGACCAGCAGTCTGTGCGCCAACTTTCAGGGTTAAAGCGTGAATTAGCGAGTTATACATTAACTCCAGTTTTTAAGACCATTTATTGTTAAAATTGTTTTAGAACGATCAGCAGAGCTTTATTTTACTGTAAAGGAGGATAATTTTATTTTTACCTAAAAGTCTATTCTGCTGTGGAGCAGCAACAGGGCAGTAAGAAAGCCGCATGCAGCTCCCGAGCCGCGTGTTGCTGACCCCTGAGCTAGTGCTTTTTTCATTACCAAGGACCGCTTGTTCTGTGAGTTAGGTACGTTTGGTCAAGTGAGGGGTTGTGTGATTGGTTCATTTGGTAATGTGACTGCTTTGACATACCAATACCAATACTTCCCTTTTCAAGTGTAGTGATGGAGGGAAAAGGATTGTTGTGGACAAAAAGCACTTCGCTGCTTGAGTGATTGTATCCAAGGAAATAACAGAAAGCAGCAAACAGATTAAGTGCCTACCAGTTTGCGAACCTTTACGCAGAAAAGTGACCTATGAAATTGCGCAATTGATCCACGGTTTGGATGGAATTCTTGTGTATGAAAGCAAAGCAGCAATAATGAGCCCCTCCCCCAAACAAGCCCAGAATCAGTATTTGAGATAGATGTAAAAATGAAAATGTCTTCGTGAAACTAACAGCAAGTCTCCTGAAAAGAATGAAAGCTGTAATAAAGCCAAAGGTTGGACACCTAAATGCTGAGAAATGAGATACTGTATTTACTAATTGAAACTACTGTATAGTTTTCTGTTAAATATCTATATTTATCTGACAATAAAAAAAGTTTTGACAGGATTTAATGAAGAAAGGGAAATATCTGACTTTTACACAGTACTGTACATGAACTGTTAGTGAACAAGCAGACTACTCCATATTTTAACTATATATTTAAGATTAATTTGTGCATATTTATCTCACAATAGCACAAGCCTAGATTTACTTCATCCAGCTTGGACACACATTTCAAGACACCCAAACAGTATAGACGAGCTGTGCCAGCTGAAGGCCTACATTTGATTTTATATGTGTTCCATTCCTGAGGTCACATTTAACCGTATTCCTTACTCTATCGTCCAGGTGAAATATCACCCGGCTCTGAGGAAGCACCACGTGGGTCATTCGTGACCTTCTGAGCAGATTGAGTTTCGGGTACAGTAGTAATACGGTCTGACTGATCTACCTATCTGAGTTATTTCTCCCAGGCCAGATAATGAGTCTAGTGTTCAGATCCAATTAGTTTGTGAGTTTGTGCGCTTTACTGTTTTGGTGAGTTTAGACAGTGGGTCAGTAATGTGATCGTTATGGGTATGAATTATTGTTTTTGTTTTGCTGCTGTACACAGATGATGTTTTATAATGATATACATTCATTCATTGGTCACTTTTTAGAAATCCCTACCTGGTAGCTCCACCTTGTGGGTGTATTAAACCCATCTGTTGATGCACAGTTTTTGTTAGTCCTCATCAAGTGTGTAAAAACTCAAGCTACAACACTGTGTCTGTTACACTCATACCAGCACCACACGCACTGCCATACCACTACTATGTCAGTGTCGCTGTTGAGAATAATCCACCACCCAAACAATATATGATCAGCAGCGGTCCTGTGGTCAGAAACTGACTGGTGAAGAAGGTGGCTGATAAATTGTGCATCAGCAGTATGGGCTACTATCTGTCGTAGACCTATGAAGTTGGTGAACCTCACAAAGTGGACAGTGAGTGTTCTGGCCTGTCCCAAAGTAGACACTTGTGGTTTTAGGATTCTGTTCAAGTGGACTCTAACCTACTGTATTTCCAACTGTATAAAAAGTGCAGAAGCACTCCTTAAGACAACAGTTGCAGGAACATGTATTATATGTTTATTGGACATGCAGTTGCTGGTGTGTGATGTTAGCATTCTTTCCCAATATTTCCAAAACAGTGTGATGGAACATCAGTATCTGGAAAAGAGTGTGTTTAGTGTGCATTCAGGGTAGGGATGTGCCCGGGTTGTGTTCAGCACTTTTCAGTTATTCATTGCGTTTCATCACGGGAATATGGAGAAGATATACAGGCTAACAATTTAGCGATTTTATGTTTTAATGGGACTGCAAAACGTGCCTGTATTTGTATGTGTGTGCCTTAATGTGAGTGTCTTTTCAAGGATGTGACTGAGAAGGCCAGAGGTTATCCAGCCGGCTCTGCTGTGGCTTTTCAGCTAACTAGGCTAATTACTCTAGGTAGGTTCAGAAATGTTGTGCCGGTTAGCTGTAGTGTTGGCTCATCAGCTCATCTGAAGAGGCAGCCTCTGCTACTCATACAATAAGTCAACACATCCTCTGAATTTAACATATTGGAGACAAATAAAACATGACATGAAAAATGAACATGAAAAATTTTGTTTTATTTTGAACATTAAAAACATGATTAAAAAAAAACGGAAACTGTGCACTAAAATTTGCAGAACAAATGCCACATTACTTTTTGTTCTCTGTAGAAGATGTTACCTTATTTTCACTTACAAAATCAACAAAACTTGTATTTGACCGGTAGTCATAAACCATGCATGTATTACTAATAGGCAATATTTGTTCTTTAAAAACACAGCCAGAATGCCAAACAAACATGTGACACACACAATTTAGGGCCGCACTTACCACCTAATTGCTTCCTAATTAGTTGATTTAATGAGAGTAAATGGCTTGCTTGATGATAGACTAAAAAAAACTTGTTAAAAATGTATCTCATTTTTAAATCTTTACATTCCATGGAATTGTTCATTTCTAATGGAGCCATAACTGAACTGTTACCATCCATGCACTTAATCCATTTCCTCTACTGTACTTCATCAAGCTGTTCATCTCTGTAAAGTCTTTCTGTCCTGCCAGTCTAGCTAATCTGCTGCAAATTTCTCATCAGCTACCCCCCCACCTCTTTTTTTACTGACTGGTTTACTCCTTCTTCCCTAGGCTGTGTGTGCTGAATTGAGGTTGCTGTAACTTTAAGAGAAGAGTGTGTATGTGTGTGTGTGTGTGTGTGGGGGGGGGTGGTTTGTGGGGTCTGCATGAATATCAGATGAGGTCTGGCTGTGCCATGCGGAGCTAAAACCCTGCACCAGCATGTGTTTGACGTGCTGACACACGCACACACACACATACGCTGACCAGCAGACGACTGGTGCTCACCGTTTTTCCTCAGAGAGAGAGAGAGAGAGAGAGAGAGAGAGAGAGAGAGAGAGGCAGACGGATCTGAGGGACAGATGGAGGAAGAGAGGGAGAGGGACAGGGCGAGAGAGAGGGATGAAGAGATGAAAGGAGAGAAGGCGGCTGCATGAGGGAGAGGAGAGCAAACTGGGCGCTTGGATAAAAGGAGAGAAGAGAAAACAGAGAAGCGGCTTCGGGTCGTTGCGGGTACGTAGTGGTGCAGTGCTACCACACATCCCGGTAGAATATGGAACTTAATTCCTATGTTTGCTGGTCTTAGATGTTGCATGGAAAACTGCCAAACTGTTCTCAGATCAGCGTAAAGAGGGTGACTTCTAGCGCTGCTTTGGCCAGTATCTGTATGTTCTATGTGTTTGTGTAAGTGCTTGGCTCTGAAACACTCTGAGACGGTTTCGTTCTCCACCGTGTCTGCTTGGCTCAGAGATGGAAACCCAGTTAGGTTCAAATACAATTAGTATTCATAAGCTATTGTATGCTATGGCATGCGGAAAGAAAGAGAGGGAGAGAGAGACAGAGCAATGAATGGATACTGTACTTGCTGGGAAGATGATATATGGCTACTATGGGCTTTAATGCACCCTAATGGATCCTGAATATGATCTGAATGTGTGCAGTAGATATGTGTATGAAGGATATGTAGTGAGACGGAGAGAGAGAGAGCTGGAGAGAAAGTAGGATAAGAGGGCTGGCAGGCAGTAATTGCTCTGCAGACGAACATCAAAGAGGTGATGGAGCGATATTTGAGGAGATAGGGAGAAGAGAGACGAATAGGAAAAAGGAGAGCAGACCTATTATAAAAGAGAAGAGAAATGGGGAAAAGCAGGATGGACAGGATGGGTTGATGCAGTTGAGAAGAGGTGAAGATAATATTAATAATAATATATGACAAATAATAATGACAAGATAGAGAGGGCTAAGATTTTGAAATAGCTTTGGATTCAGAGTGGAGCAAAAGTGGCTTGGTGGGCTGGACCAGAAGGCTGCAGAATCTAATGACCTTCTCTGATCTCAGCAGTGAGCTACTGTGTCCATGAGTTTGACACTTAAACCCTGACACTATTCCAGGGGTGCAGGAACATGCTGTTTACCCCACGACTGGGGCACAAGAATGGACAGATGAAATGACTGTGGGGCCGAAGATAGGATGGAGAAAAGCAAAGTAGAGAGGTGATTGGAATGTTACAGCTGACAAGGGAATTAGGGGGATATAGAGTGGAAGTTATTGGAACATGAGAGAGAGGCCTGAAATAAGATAAAGTAGTCTGGCTTTTCAATGAAGGCATGGTGGGTTTGATGGGCAGAGAAGAGGAAGAAGGGGAGGGAGGACGCAAATGAGAAGCGAGCTTCCTTCGATAAGGACATAATTGCAATAATAACGTCAAAAGTTATCTACGCATTGAATCGCTCAGAGCTGGTGGACTGCAGCTGAATTGGACAGAGAGGGTGGAAGGGTGTTCGTAATATAGTGGCATAGGGTTACCCTTCAGATAGTGCTGTTGTGATCACAGGCTGCCAGTGGAACCAAATGATGGCACAGTGATCAGTTGAGGCCAAATTATGGTGTGGGGATCAGGTGGAGTCACTCGGATCAATTAGTGCCATTAGGACTGCATGATGGCTTATGCACCAAGTGATGTCACTGGGATCAAGTGCTAATCAAATGATGGCACAGAAATCAGGTCATGTCATTGGGATCAAATGGTTTCATAGAGACCAAATAATGGCATAGGGATCTGGTGGTGTGACTTGGATCAAATGGTTCCTTTGGGACCAAATGAGGCATAGGGATCTGGTGGTGTCACTAGGATCAAATGGTTTCATTGGGACCAAATGATTGCATAGGAATCTATTGACCCTGTTACAATTTTACATTGACTTTCCCAAGGATGCCTACGTCATTTGCAGTGTTGAAACCTGGCTGGATGTAGTTAGCAGTGAAGGCTTGTTACACCCCTTAATGCCATAACCCCATTGTTTGGAGATTGCAAGTTTGATACCCGTTGATGGGCAGGAGTCCATAAATAGCCTGATTCTGTCTGAGTGAGAAGGATAGCCCTGCTTCTCTCCCTCATTCAGTGTGATGCTAGCCATTGCATACGTCATTAGCTGATGGAAAACAAAACTGGCAGTGTTCTCCTCCAAGGATGTTGAGCTGCCCAGTGATAATGTTATTGGCAGTCTGAGAAGATGCAGTGGTGCTTCATGTGTTTTTGAGGAAGCTCATGCTATAAAAATGGTATTTCAAAGCTGTTTCTCCACTGACCTTCACTGTCCAGCTCAAGTCCAACGTACACCCGAGAAACCAATCCAGTGCTTTTCAATCCTGTGGACATAAAGCTAATTGAATCTTTCTGGTACCGCTGTGGAATGCACACAAGCTGAAATACACCAGTGCAGCTTTGTTTACCTGTTTTCCAGCCTGTTTTTGTTTGTTAATGATATGCTTCATCCCCTGGAAAGCTGTTTTGCAACACCTCCGTGGCAATTAGCGGCGGTGTGTGTGCTGATTCTGTTTAACTGTCACTGGAGGCCGAATGTTCCCATTGTTGGCATTGTGGTGATATTTCACTTGTCCACATTTTCCATTTTATCCTACATTTAGTCACTCAGCCAAGACATGTCCAAAATTTGCTGCTTTAGTTCAGCACTGGAGCTACGAGGCTAATGTTGCTAATGAACACTAGAAATCAGTAGTCACCCAAATTTGTTCAATAAATTCAGAACTTCTCTTAGCCTGCTCAGACTGCATCTAGATTTTCATTAAGGTTGCACATTCTTGTTGATGTGTTTTATAGCACAATATAAACTATAAACATGAACAAAAAGTTCACTGTGTAACCGAACGCTGAGGGCAGCCACTTAAGACAAATGTTGTACCGAAATTCAACTGCCTTTTTACAAATAACAGCTCAACTTAAAATTTCTAAATAAAGATTTAAAACAGAATCATATATTTAATCTAGTGTCTGTATACCTGTGTGAAATGCATTCATGTGGAGGGCAGCCAGATTCTGCAGGGAAGGTGGAATTCAGCAGAACATTGTTGTATAAATTGGCTGATCGCAGCGTTCAGCTACACAGTGAGTTTTTTCTTTTTAGTAGTTCACAGTAGGTCATACTCTCTTCTAAACCACATCTACAAGTGTAAGTGTGTGACCTTAAGGAAAACTTGGATGCTGGTTGAGTTTTGGGGATGTATTTACAGAAAAGATTTGGGTGACTATTAAGGTCTAGTGTTTGTTGGCAATGTTATCCTCATAGCTCCAGCGCTAAACTAAAGAAGCAAAATTTGGACACCAAACGTCTTGGGTGATGTGGAAGTGGAAAATTGTGTCAATTAGATTTTTCACCCAACCATTCGTTATACGCAACCATGCACTATGAAAAAACGCAAGGATAGTAATTTACGTGCAAGAGTATGTGTGTTCGTTTGTGCACACTTAGCGACACTCCTTGTGTCATACATCTGTCACCCTGTCTTCTCGCCATGTAAGTTTCTAGAAGAAAACTGGATGTGAAGCTTCAGGTGTCCTAAGGGAAAAGGGAGAGGGAGAGAGCGACAGAGAGAGAGAGCGCTTTCTGATTAGATCTCTCAGGCATGTTTATGTTGCATGCACACCCACACACGACAGTTGGTATTTCTGTCTTTTGTGAATTTCTGTGGGGTCTGCATGACTATCTATTGCATGACTGCATGAATGTTGCATTCTGTATTACTGTATGTAATGTTGTTGTGCTCTACTTAACCCGGCTCTAACCCTAAGGGGCAATTGTGCTGATTGTGAAACATTTCTGCCTAATTCAATTGTTGAGATGTAAGCAAAGTCATTCAGAGTGGTTTAATGTGAAATGGTCCAGTGTAGCGAAACTTACCGACTTGGATTTCTTTAAAGTGTTGGTGGATGCCTACAGTGATGGACCTACACGTCATCTGAGGTTTTATATGTAATGTTGAGGTAGCTTTAGGGAGTCCTATTACCACCACTGTGAACAATTCTGACTGGGTAAGTTTCTCTAGAATGGAACATTTCACATCAGACCACCCTGAATGACTTACAATGTACTCTGAATTACAGCTCAACCATTGAAGTATGCTGAAACTTTGAAAAATCATCAGAATTTCCCTTTAACCTCAGAAACCAAAAGAACACATTTTGCCTCTTTTTCTAAGAAAAGCTGCAGTGTTTTGGGAAAAAACAGAAAAGGAATTTGGAGAGCAGCCAAATATATGCACACTGTTCATGTTTTCCATTGTCCCTGGGACATTTGACATTAAATACAAACACACACAATCTGACCAGAGCTCGATGGAGCAGTACTCATGGTTGTCATTGCTCAAAGTCTTTATTCTGTTGTGCATTTTACTCCCCCACCCCCAAAGAATGAAAATAACGGGTACTAGCAACTATTTATACGTTTGTCTTACATTATTTATTTCATCTCTCAAACTCTGTCTCTCTCCATCTCTCTCTCTCTGTGTCTCTCTCTCTCTCTCTTTCTCCTGTGTCATGCGGGAGCTTATACGAGAGTGTAAGTTCTGTAGAGGAGTCAGACACAGAACCGCTCATTAGAGAGAGAGAAAGAGAGGAAGAGAGCGTCAGAGGCAGAACGAGTGCCAGGAGAGATGGGGTGGAAAAGACAGATAGAGGAGAAGAGACGAAGAGAGACAGGCTCGTTTTCTGCGCATCCCTCCACACCACGCGGATTAGGAAGAGACACACACTCACATATACACACAGCGTCCACAGTGGAGTGGATTACTGCATGCCATCATCCCTCCACATCCTCACAAAACACAGAGTTCTGTCAGTGCAGGAGTACAGTACGGGTGTGCACAGTCAGAATACAGCACAGTCAGAATACAGCACAAATACAATACAATAAGGCACAGTCAAAATGCAGCACAGATTCAGTACAATACAGCACAGTCAGAATACAGCACAGATGCATTACAATACAGCACAGTCAGAATACAGCACAGATACAGTACAATACAACACAATCAGAATGAAACACAGATACAATACAATACAGCACAGTCAGAACACGGCACAGATGCATTACAATACAGCACAGTCAGAGTACAACACATACAATATAGTACAGTCAGAATACAGCTCAGATACAATACAATATAGTACAGCAGAATACAGCACAGATACAATACAATACAGCACAGTCAGAAT